AACGGAGAAAATTTATTACTATTGAGACGCAGACGAAGTTGCGCTGGTCAGCTAGTGTATTATATGAAGAATTTATAATCTAGACAAATTCATATTTATATATCCACTACACCTGTAGTCTTTTGCATTATCGACTTTTATTCGCATACCGTATGCATATTTAATTAAACTTGAACCATATTTTAATGTTTATTTTTTATATACTTTCACGTTCAGAGAAACAGATCAATACAAAAAAAGCTTTTTTTGCCCATAACATGTTGTGTAACATGTGCGACATAGACAGGTTGTAACGTCACAAATGAACGACACATGTATTGTCATGTCCACGTTGTGTACGCAATTAACAGCGGAGTTTTTGTTCAAAATATCTTTGTGCATCGAATATGCGCAGCGGAATAAAGGTTGCAATATTTAATAGGATTACGACGTTAGTGTCCGCTTTGTTTTAAAATTCTGTTAGCATTTATTGGTTTGAATATTTAATAATAGTATTTTATTGATATATTTTAACATTCATTCGGTTAGAAAGCTTGGAGTTTCCGGCAAAAGCCAAATCAAGTTAGACGGGCCTGTTGCTCTAGTGGCTAGTGACTCTGAGTACTAAGCCATTGATCGTGGGTTGTATTCCAGGACAAAAAATGGCGTCATGAGCACGATCAAGTGTTCTGTGTCTAGGTGTAATTTATCTATAATATGTATGTATTTAGAAATATTTAAGAATGTTTAAGAACGAACAATGTTTTTTATTTAAGAAGTAAGTTTGTGAAGGTTTTAAGCTAAAATTATGCGAGCAATAGCTCAAGAAGTTAAGGTCAACCTTCTCTAGATATTTCTTCACATCACATCCACAGCCTTTAATAGTCCACTGCTGGACATAGGCCTCTCCTTAGAAAGGAGGTTTTGGCCTACTATACCACGCTGGCCAGACTGGTTGGTATAGGGTTTGTGTCAAGTTTTCCTTCTCTTTGCAGTGCTGGAAGAGAATTTCTTAAATCCCCCAAACCATTCGTATTATCACTATCATTTTCTCACTACTGACTTCCCTTTCTTTTCAATATCTTTAAAAAAATTCCATCTTATCCCTAAAGTATCTGGTACACAGCAATAACCTAAAGTAGAATAAAATAATTGTTAGCAAAATGTGTGCGTTAAATTTACATCTGATAACCCCTTTGGTTATACAGGCATGAGCATATGAGTTTAACATTCTGAGATTAAAAATGCCAAATATATCTAGATTTGTTTGTTACGATATCCCGAATGTTGTTTATCGTGGTAAAACGTAGCCTTTGTTTCTCGCTGATAATGTAGCTTTCTATTAGTGAAATAATTTTTAAAATCAGTTTAGTGATTTAGGCGTGAAAGCGTAACAAACACATCGCTTTCACATTCGTAATATAAGTATGGAAGGATAGATATCATTATACACATCGAGTTTTACAGGCCTTTTGACGTGACAACGTCTTATAATTCGAGGGAGCCGGCTGCACTCACGAAAAAACATGACTCATGCGGCGTTACCTCGCTCTGAGGCGTTCCATTTAAAGCGTGAAGTGCAAGCGAGAGCGCGGACATCTGTCTCTCTCAACTAGGAACTTGAGTGAGCGATGCGTCCGCGTGGACAGCTACTACTCGTATTTGATACATTTTTGTAAAATACAACCATTCCATCAGTATTTTCTTATGACGTTGTCACGTTCAACTATCGTCAGTAAACCAACTTTACAGACAACCGATTTTTATAGGTTATACTTGAACTTGTCTTTTAAACGAACATAATGAACTTTCTGAATAATATCACTCGCCGTTGGTTTTAGTGGTTATTGATCCTAACTGCTAAAATAGAGGTAGTGAGTTGGATTACCACCTAGTACAAATAATTGTATGATGAGCACTATCATTTGTTATTATTATTATCAAGAGCCTTTTGCTAGTCCACTGATGGATATAGGCCTCTCCATAAAAATGAGGTTGGTATAGGTTTTGTGTCAATTTTTGCTTCTCTTTGCAGTGCTGTTGTCCTGCGTAGTTTGATCCCTTAGTCGGCTCTTATGATATTCACCTCTTTTTGCATTTTGCGATATTGTCTATTAATATATTTATAACTGTATTAAATATTATTGGTGATAAGCAGCAACCTTAGAACAACCCTACTCTGAATTCGAGGGGTTTTGTGTGAGTCTCTTTTGCTGTGATTTCAAATTTTAATTTACTGTAGTATGATGCAATTATTTTACATACTATTGGCGGCAAGCTATACAATTTCAAGACAAATAACATTATTCTTTATAAACTTAAGAATTACGTTAAAAATATTTTATTCGATTCTTAGCCAGTTAACTCCACAAACTAAATCTCTAACTTAACACATAAATCAGAGAGAATGTGTCTTATTGTGGCTTAACGTTCCCGTGTTCAACATTTCATGTATTTTATTTTCAGTTGCTCTCGGAAGTTAATCTTTAAGAGTTCTGAAGAGCCGTTAATCTTAATCTGCATCTGCACGATGTTCTGACGTAACAACTCTCCACTCTCGGTACGGAAATACGAAAAAATTCTTGCTCATTTTTCACGACTAATTATTTTGCTATAGAGTATCAACTTTTTTATTTTTTCACATCACTGATGTAAGAAGGAATATGTAAATGTGTATGGACTGTGTCATTAATCAGTGGCCCTCTGAGATGTAGATAGGTACTTTAGAACAAACACCAATTAAATTATATATTTTTTAAAGCGATTATCTCAGGAACTTTTAGTGGATTTAAATCATTCTTTTTATGAACGTACAAGACCTATTTAAAAACACAATTTTTCCGTTCAGTGTTTATTATTGTCCTCTCCACGATTATTCAACTATTCCTGCTGTAAGTGGATTAGCCTAAGTGCCGAAAGAGAAATGCTCCATTTATTTATTTATTTATTATTATTTATTATTGTGTATTATTATTTATTATTTATTATTTCTTTGTTCTATATTTAATGCATTATTGGGTTACCACTAAGATGTATTCTGCTTACCTTAATTTAAAATAGATGAACAATAGACGATCGACGACGACGATCTCTAACTTTTTCCTAAACCTTCTAACTTGAACTCATCAACAACGTACAAACATGAAACGTTTACAAAGCACCTTCAGGTACCTGATGTGTTTTAAGTGCAGTACATTGGACGGAGGCTCATTCCAGGCACATTACCATTACAAAGGCTCTCTCGAGGTACTGAACCAAAAAGGTTTGGTTACCATTTAGGTAGCACATCGGACAAAATTGTTAGTGAAACTTTGGCCTAATTACAAGTCGTTTAGAATAAAAGATTAGTTAAACATAGATTTGAAAATAGACATTTTTTACGGTATAGAGGACAAACGAGCAGACGGGTCATCTGATGGTAAGTGACTATCTACGCCCATGAATACCTACAACTTAAAGAGTCAGAGGAGATTTGGGATATAGTCTTTGTCCCTTTGACAAAAGCAAATGCAATAAAAAGAGTGCACATATCCTTTGTGCTCGACTGAACTCAATTACATACTGTTCCAGTATACATCCTGTTTTTTATCACTAGAAAATGGTAAACACAATTCGTCGTGACAACTAGTTGAACATTTAGTACAACCGTATTAATTTATAATGTCACTGTTTAATTAGGTCACAGAGTGAGTACATCCCAAACACACTTCTCTCCTTTTACATTAAAAGACACAAAGGACGTCGTAACATACTTGATATAGCCAGTTTTATTCCTTACAATGGTGACGTTAATTAGGAAATAAAGCCGCCGCCACACTGTCGCCCGCGTGTCCCTTTGTCCGTTCGCGTACAAAGGACACGTATCTATCTATGTTTACAACACACACTTTGTAATTAACAGTTTCAGGATTATATTCAGCGTCACTTTGTGTAAATCTGCGTTTTTAATTACAGTGAAAATTTATTCTGTTTACATGGAATGTGGGTTTCTATTAATGTGAAGGAATTTCGTTAAAATTATCAAACATGATGGCGGTCTTCCTTTGGATATCATTGTATATTTTTTAAATGTATATGTGCTCATACACACAGTCACATTTTTTTTCTCATTCTTAAGGATATGAATAGTACAAAGTTATATTTATGAGTACACATACAGATATTAAAAAATCAAGGATATCTTAATTTTAAGTTACGACGTTATCGAAATAAAAACGTTATAGTCATTTTAGTCATTAAATTCTAAGAATAGGAATACGATTAGGATTATGTAAAGAGGAGGATCCTTTGTTAATACAAAATTTTCTTTTTTGAGTTATCCTCTCAATATTGAAACCACATTTGTCAAGGCAATAATCTCCTTATGAAAATTATTTTAGCAATATGGTTTTGTAAGATTGAAGTAAACCTTTCAAGCTTTGACATTTAAACTAAAATAAAGGTAAAACTGCTGACGACAGAATGAGATCTGTACATACCTTGGCCTTTATATGCCTTAGCAAAAATGTGAGCGTCACAGCAACTTAATTTTTTTTTATATTATGTTGTTAGTGTTATAAGCAATCACAGTGATCATTAATTGCAACCATCAATACATATTAAATTAATTGCCCTGACTGACTGAGTGATTCATCAATGCAGATCCTAAATGCTGAGGAAATATAACCTCTCATCATCATCACATCACATCAACAGCCTTTACTAGTCCACTGCTGGACATAGGCCTCTCCTTAGGAAGGACGTTAATGTAACCTCTAAGGTGGTAAAATAAGTAATGATGATGAGTATATGAGGCTACAAATACGAAATAAAAAATATTCACGCTAGCAAAGCTGCAGGCAATAGCTAATGGCCGATATACTTCATTTAAACAAACTTTGTCATCGACAAGTTATCTAAACTTAACCAGTATTTAAATTTTGGTGTTTGTATCACGAAGTTACGGCGTAAAACAATTAAAGCTTACACATTGTATTTAAGGTCCAATAAATAAAGCAGTTCAAAGCTAACCCTAATCAAATATGACAGCCCTGTATCTATTAATTGGCATGAAGTTTAAACAACAACGTACACCGGTTGATGTATTCCTTGATGTGTCAGATATTGTAGACACATTTGAGGTCGACAATGTATCGGTCCAACGGAGCGCAGCGGTCGCCACGGCAACGCCTAACAATTACGGGCATCGGCGTCGCGTGAATTTAATATTCGGCAATGTAACCGCGCGAAGGGGTACCGCGCGGCGCACGAGTGTAGCTGCGGCTTTATACTAATTAAGGAAAACTTATTTGAGGTATTGCTTATTTAATAATTTCTTATTGAGAGTCAACATCTAACTCTATTTCTGTTGTTGTTAAATTTCTTTTTACCTTATTTTAACAACTAAGTTAGCAAACAAATAGGGGACTTATGTAGTGGTAAGCGATTACCAACAGTTATAGTGTAAGTAATGCCGGCAATGCAATTACGACTTCTAAGTTGCAAGTGTCCATAGTTGGCAGTTGATCTGACTGAAAGTGGCTTGAAGATGAAGATGGTACATGCAAGTTCCTCCGTAATTAGGTTATAATACACCGTTTATCCTACATTTAGTAGTACAGCCGTCCGTATAAAATACTTATTGCGAAGCGAATTAATCAGTTTAATTAATTACCGATATCGACATAAAACCAATCATGCACAATAGATAGATACAAACACCAGCAATCGCATTAAGCGTGATTTATGTAATTAATACGATTATTGTATTTGATTAATGATGCCTACAACCTTCCTTCTACACAGATTTATGGTAAATCCACCAACTTATGTTGTAATACAATAATAAAGATTATTAACATCATATTGAGCTCAGAATTAACACGAAGTTTCTCTTTGAAATATATTATTTTTTGTACAAATACATTTTACTAAAACACAATTTTGTTTTTTGTTACAGGTACGTTTACGTACGACGGCAGAAACTGTGATTGATTTAACAAGTTGAGGGTGAGTGGGTTGGTGGGAAGGAGAATTTAAGTGGAAATAAACTGCTGTTTAAAAACCGGCCTGTCATCAGTTGTGCCCAAAATATAGGTTGATAGAGATATTTGCTACAGCCATTTTCTAACTCAAATTAGGTCTGAGGTACTTTATAGACATGCTACATACATAGACACGCGCCTACACCTCAATACGGTTAGGCAGACGTATTATTTACCCACATTTGCCAACTTAAAATTTATCCCCAATTACGAAATAGGGATGCCTATTGGAGCCAACCGGACATTTTAGGGATTAGATGGACAAATTGCAGGTTTACTAAAAGACAATGTAGAAAAGAAGGGCAGGCATTGGCAGGAGAGAGTGCTACTGCAGAAGATACTGCTTATAGATTCTATAAGCAGGTCGGGCTATTGTCGGAAAGTCAGAGCTCTCCAACTGACTATATAGACTTTTCAAGAAACGCAAAATCTCCAACATCTTTCTCATTCAAGGGCAAAACAGTCGTTCATATTTATATTAAGCTACAGATAAGTTCAAGGTTTAAAACGCGGCGGAGCAATATAACCTGGTCATAAAGGTCACCGGTCACGTGAACAACACTACTCCTACGCTCCAAACTGGGATATGGTTCGGTTTTGGAGCGTAGGGTTCAAGATATCCTATATTATATTGTCGTAATGAAAATATTGTCATGTCATTGACTATTTGTTACACAAGTTTCATTATGCTTGTGACTCCTGAGTTGCAGGCGTTCATGGGCGGCGGTAGTTGCTTTCCATCAGGTGACCCGTCCCGTCCCCCTATTCCTCCTTTTCTCTTTAGACGACCGAATGGCGTAGTGGTTTGTGTAACGGACTGCTATTACAAAGGTCGCGGGTTTGATTCCCGCTTAAGTCAAGCATTTGTGTGCGTGAACATTTAATGTTTGATTTTCTATGTATAATATGTTTGTATTTATAATATGTATGTATTTACAAAAAAAAAAGTATATATGTATTTATATCAGTTGTCTAGTACCCATAGTACAAGCTTTGCTTAGTTTGGGACTAGATGGCGTTGTGTCAATGTGGTATTTTATTTAATTTCAATTTTAGTTTTTAAAAAGATCAATATTTATTAAAAAATAAAAATTAGTATATTTTCTTGTTTTTGACATTCAAGATCAAAATAAAAAAAAATACAATTTTACAGTAAGTTTAGTTTTTAGTTTTATTATTTTTAGGATTTTAGTAAGCTCAGTTTTCGCAGTAATAAAAAATAATGAAATTAGTCTAACTAAAACACTACATTACTGCATTTTTTTTATCTAAATGTTAAGAAGTTGTCTTATTTCTTTTTGTTGGTTGAGTTTCGTGATTGTAATAGTATGTAGTTTATTTTTAGTAAAATTTGTAAAGATATAGCTAATTTGGTGTAATGCTTATATTTAATGAATAAACAACTGAATTTAATATATAATACGATCTCACATAAACATAAGTTTAGTACATAGAAGATTTTAGTCGTGATTCTATCGGGATGTGATTAGTTCACAACGCAAACACAATGAAGCTAATATGGACGTTTTAATCCAACCGAGTGACGCTTGTCCAGTCGCGTTATCCATTTCACGCTCGGCCCGCAACATTGTCTGAAAGCAATTGCATTTGTCCATCCACCTGGAAGAACTCCGGCGTAATATTAAACAGAATAATATTAGTAGAAGATGATAAATTAGATTTTACTGAAGATAGAATACATTGAATGAGAATGGGTGAAATTTTGTTTATTAACCTATTCAGGTAAACTAAACCTTTTAGTCCATGACTTTGGGATATAGATCTTGGTGTTTATTCGATTAGACCTTTTGTTAATTCGATTCCAGTTTGATAAAAATATTTGTATGCATGATGCGTAATCATCAACATCAACAGCCTATAACAGTCCACTGCTGGACATAGGCCTCTCCTTAGAAAGGAGGTTTTGGCCTACTATACCACGCTGGCCAGACGGGTTGGTATAGGGTTTGTTTCAAGTTTTCCTTGTCTTTTCAGTGCTGTTGTCCTGTGTAGTTTGCTCCTTTAGTCGACTCTTATGACTCCTACGGGATGAATAGGGGTTTATGCACACAAATGTTTGACTTGAGCGGGAATCGAACCCGTCGTGGGTTCGATTCCCGCTCAAGTCAAACATTTTGGAATAGCAGTCCGTTACACAAACCACTACGCCATCCAGTCGTCAAACTAAACTAAACTACTGTTTAGGAACGATAAATGATATTTATGTCTGTAAGTAAATCTTTTCAGATATATTTACAAGTCGGGACAACGGGTGGCAGCTCCCTTCAGCACAAAGTGAGGATCCTGAGAACGGATGAGGTCATACCGGCAGCTCGCCGTCCATAGCTGTTTTTTGAGTACGAATATTTGTACTGAAGTTCTCTGCGAAATAAAAAAAATCTAAAAAATCTAGTAAAAGAATGGCTTTTATAAAAAAAATATAAATTACACAATGCGTTACTTTGCGGTAAACCTGAACAACGTTTCATACATACTTTAATAAATATGAAACATTTCCAATACGTATTCAATAATTAAATTGCGGTGGGAATGTGGCTTTGTTAATACTATTTTCGATGTATCGAGCGGTGTTATGGTTAAATAATTTGATTTAATATTTACAGAACATGCATTCGTAAATGTTTTATATTTTATCAATAATTCACTAGGCTTTGAGTGTGTTTCTCTTGATGTTTGTCCATCAAAACCAGAATTTCATTATTAGTTGAAGTTGAAAAAAGTTGTCATCAGATGTATCACATAACCATAATTTTATAAAATAGTTTTATAATTCACAGTTCGATGTGCTGACTTCAACACTTATTTTGATTTAAAAGAGATCGTTACAACTCAAAAGAGCAATAAAAAGTTCTTTGTTTGGATTTTTATTTGACGCTTTATGTCATTGAAACCCTTTATACGTATTTGCGATAGACCAAATGTGGATTGATAAGTCAGCAAACATTGACTTTTAAAAGATACGTTTTATTTTATCTGGCTATATCGCCGAATACAACCATTCATAAAATGGACGGACGCATTAAAAAAGCCGTTAATTCTAAGTTTTGCCTATAAAACTTGACCGACATATACACTTAAATATATATCATATTAAATTACTTAAATTGAAAATCTGCTGAGTTTTCTTCACTAGATAAAGTAAGTAGAGATTAATTACATACTATTCAGCGGCCAACCACTCCACTTAAGTCCGGGAGAGCGGTGTCGACTATTGGCCATTCCGTATAAAGAGCAATCAAGTGGAACTACGAGAGAGAGCGAGGGAATGGGGACTAAACTTTGTTTTTTCAAATATTTGTTCGCACAATATCAGAGTTTGGAGGGGAGAATATATTGACTGAAGTTTGTTCTTTGATAAGTTTAGAACACTTGATAGCTTTATAAATACAAATTGTATAAACTGTTCCTTCTTTTTGATAGAAGCCAACAAAATGATAATACTGGTGAATAGTGGTGATGATGATGACGTACATTTACATAGAAAATAACAGTTTTTAAATTAGCGCATTATGTCAAATATTTGTATGCATGATTACGCAAATCCGTGTGGTGACGGATTAAGAATACAGAGTGTCACCACCACTATTCACCAGTATTATCATTTTGTTGGCTTCTATCAAAAAGAAGGAACAGTTTATACAATTTGTATTTATAAAGCTATCAAGTGTTCTAAACTTATCAAAGAACAAACTTCAGTCAATATATTCTCCCCTCCAAACTCTGATATTGTGCGAACAAATATTTGAAAAAACAAAGTTTAGTCCCCATTCCCTCGCTCTCTCTCGTAGTTCCACTTGATTGCTCTTTATACGGAATGGCCAATAGTCGACACCGCTCTCCCGGACTTAAGTGGAGTGGTTGGCCGCTGAATAGTATGTAATTAATCTCTACTTACTTTATCTAGTGAAGAAAACTCAGCAGATTTTCAATTTAAGTAATTTAATATGATATATATTTAAGTGTATATGTCGGTCAAGTTTTATAGGCAAAACTTAGAATTAACGGCTTTTTTAATGCGTCCGTCCATTTTATGAATGGTTGTATTCGGCGATATAGCCAGATAAAATAAAACGTATCTTTTAAAAGTCAATGTTTGCTGACTTATCAATCCACATTTGGTCTATCGCAAATACGTATAAAGGGTTTCAATGACATAAAGCGTCAAATAAAAATCCAAACAAAGAACTTTTTATTGCTCTTTTGAGTTGTAACGATCTCTTTTAAATCAA